AAGTACCAGTATATCCATCCATTGGCTATTGGGATCTTCATACCTACCAGAACTCTTCTAGACTGAGACACCTGAACAGGGAAAATGCATTGAGGATGAACCGGGATTGTTAGGAATTGAAGTGAAAAAATTTGAATAATGGTGACGGAAAAAATATTTTCATGACAGCTCCGATCCAATGTGAGATGGAATGACATGGAATTCACAAGACTCACACCAAACAGAAAGAGATTTTCGGTGAAAAGGACATTTTCACACGTTTCGGATTTCGCGATGTCATGATCTTGCCCGGATTCCCATGCCAAAGGCGCGCTTCGCTACCCTGTCTACTTACACAGCATACCCAAAAGTGCGAGGCGTTCCAACCCCCCAAAACGCGTTTCCGCGCAGATCTAAGAGGGGTCTCTCCGACCCCCCTTGGTCATCCCCCGCCATTGAGGAGGTCGTGAATGACGCGCATGCGGAGTGACGTCAGAAGGATGTGTATATAAAGGGCCTCAGAGCTTCCTATGTTGGTATTCGCTTGTAGCTACTCTTAGCTTCTCGCTATTTCCTCTCACTGGCATATTCGTTGGGTAGGGGCGACTGTATGGATCAGGGTAATTAGTTTGAATCGTAGGTAAAGGAAGAGGAAAAGCCTGTCTGGTTTCTGGGTGTCGGGCTTCCTATCTTAACTGCAGGATAGAGAAGTTGCCATTTCATACCTTCCTAAATTCTCTTGAAAGATGAGAAGAATGGATGAACATTTTATCTTCTTGATGAAGGAAGTACTGACACATAGGTCCAAATTACGAGACAGAAAAATGTATTGAATATTAGCGGGGTGACATGGTAAACATTCATATAGACATACCAACAAAATTAAACCTTCCTCCTTTCTCAGGGAAAAAAAACCCTGCAGCGTACCAATACCAACTTCCTCAACCCAACAATCCATCCATGAAAAAAGTAAATTTTTGAAGGAAAAAAAAGCCATTTAGGTGCAGCCAAAAATGTAGGTCCAATGAATGATTATTCCAGAAAAGAAACCTGGCAATCTCTATACCTCCTATCAGGGATTTTTCATTTGCATTGGGATTTTCCTCTTCCCAAGGAAGACTTGCAAGGTGAGGTAACGTTCGTTCGTAGCGTAGCATTCATTGCCACTCTAGCATCCCTCTAGCTCTTCCCACCATCCTCATAGCTCATCTAATCTGGATGAATCAAGTAACCTCTCAATTTTTAAACCTTCACCGCTGAGGTATTGAATATCCCACGTCTGGAGACGGAATCACCTAGTGCTTAGGGGTCCCCGACGGGCTTGCACTCGGAAAAAACCGCCCGATTTATTTAGTTTCGAATCTGGATCCCACGTCATGGGAGAAGAGGAAGTTACCGACCGAGCCGCTTCCAAGCCCCATTCAAGAGAGGCTCCCCTGTGGCGTCACAAGGATACGTTCTCCTTAACTCATCTTCTGCGCTCGTGAATGAAGCTCCTATTACCCCAACCTCGTATTTAGTAACATTCGGTAAAAGACTACCGTTGAGCGTCCATTTGACGCCATGGCCTACCCTTCCCCCCCTAATGGTCGTCTGCTGCATTCCCCCAAGAGGAGGGATGGATTAATTTCGCGAATGAACGGATGTATGCTCCTAATTTCGGTTATTTTCCGCTCAATATGGACCTTGGATGGTAAGTTTTCTTTTCTCACTAGGGGTCATGCCCTTCATACAAAAGTTCAAAAATAGGTAAGGGTCAGAGTCGCACACTGGAAACACGCAGGAAGCTGCAATCCAGAGGTCTCAAGTACGAATCCTCTTCTGCGCCATGCCTCTTTTACATATGACGAACCGTCGCTACCACACGACTTTCTTGACAGATAGAAATCACTGTACAATGGTTAATATTTATGCATATGAAACGGGAAATCACTATTTTCATTTACTCTCTCCCTTCGTGCACCCGATACCATATGAAACGAAATGAACAAAACCGAAGAGTCCATTAGTGGAGTAGTCCGGTTCCGGTGATTACTCTCGAGCCGGTTCGAACGATCATTCACGTAGGATTGTTTGTATTTAATATAATCAGCCGGCGGACTCCTTCCTCCCTTTCACAATGCGCTCTTCAAGCAAGCCTGTGTATGAACAATGTGTACTTCTCCTTTCATGAATGTACATTGTATCATACAACAGGGAAGCGATGCTTCAGAGAAACTTGAAAATGTAAACTTAGAAAATAAACTAAGACAACCGGAATGGCGTCGAATCATGTATTCAAGAAGCATTCACCGAGATAATTCGATGATGTGACCTGGGTGATGACACAAAGAAATTCTGTGAATCAGTAGCCACATGGCGAGAAATTGGATAAAAGGACCCTCTTGTCATAGATCACCTGGTACGTATTGTTGTCCTCTTTGGTGAATAGACCCTTCCCTCAAATTATCACCCGAAAAAGGGTGATACGTTGCTCTTCCTCTCAGATCTTCTGCTCTCGGCTCCCGTCCTTGCAGGCCGGAATGTAAATATGAGGCGGCACATCATGTCTAAAAGTTATTTCTGTAGAGACTGAGTAGTTGAGGATGAAACCATGAACATTGAGACCCATGATTAAATCAACGTTTATATCATGTGGTTCCAGGCAGGGCAGCAGAAAATCGTTTCGTCTCTTTCTTTAGGCACGAATAAATTCTTTCACCTGTTCTTCTGTCACCAGTCCTAGGCCACGAATTCCAAAGAGATGAATGAACATTTCAGATCCAAACGAGACTTCAAAACTTGAAAGAAACCCTTCCATCAGAGTTATTCCTGACCTGCTTTTAAAGCCTTGTTCACGAAGTCCTTTGTGGCGTGCTCCAAAGATCCGCTTGGACTCTTGGTCTTAGCTGGAAAATACAAGATGAATACATCGATCGTTAAAAAGGGGAACCGCAGAAGTGAAAGAGAAGCGAAATACTGGTTGTGGCAGTAGACCTCGCCCGATGATGGTGGTCCAGCCAGGACACATCACTTTCGTCTTGTAATACAGTTGCCACCTGTAGAAGCCGGGGGACATGGAGTAGTCGCATCGATGACCCAGAAACTCCACCTGCTCGTCCTTCCACAGTCTGCAAAACTCTATCCCATAACCGAAGCGCTGCGTTAGCAACTCTTCCAATGTATGTTTGACTCACCCCATCACTTTTGTGGCGACTTGGCCGATGAATTCCTCCCACTGAGCACAGGCAGGACCGATGACGAACACGGCGAAGATGAAATAGCCCAACTTCATCCTGGGAGCGAAATCTATCGGAATAGAGGCTTTCAATTTGCCAGGAACTAAGATCAGCTTAGTCTCGATCCCAAAGGGTGAGGAGAGTTTAGCGAATAATAATATTCAGCTCAGCAAACTCACACGGGGTATACCAGGACAAATTCAAAGTATAAGAGGCAAAATTGTCAGAATGAGATTATCATATGGCCCTAGAAATTTCGGATCGAAGAAGCATCTACTCCTACTTACTTGAGGGAGACAGCTAAGAGTAACTCGAAAAAATTTTTAGGCGAGGAAAGGCTCAATCTGGAGAAATAAGACCGACAATAGCCAATGAACTCATTAAATTGGATGGAAGAGAAACACGAGCAAGGAACACTAGAGAGGATGGGATGAAGGAGGGTTTCCTCTGTTTCCTACTTCGCACTCAACAGTACAATGCAAGTGTTCCCACTCAAGTTCGTGCTCTAGCATTGATGGAGGGAAGACTGAAACACGCTATTCAAGGGTACGACTTTTTTCTGTTGACTCACGATATGATGGATGCGATATGACAATAATCAGTGCTGTCCGTACTTTGGTACAATCGGATTCTGTCATAGGGAGACCAAGGTTATAGTGATGACTGGTCCCGGCCCTTAGCCTGGAAGGTAAGTGCGTCTTTTTCTTTAGCTGGCGAAGAGCGAAATCGGTTGCAAACCGAGCCTAGCTTAGAGTGAAGGCTAGTCAAACTCACGAAGTTAGGAATGGAGTATATCAATTCGTCATCGCTCTCCCCAAGCACTGGAAATTTCATCTTTACATTTATGAGATTTGTATCCTCCAACCTCCTCTTCCCTGCACTTTTGAAGGATCTCGGCTGTGTGTGTGTAAAGGGGAGCAGGGGGGTGGGGGTGTAGAGAGGGAAAATAAACAAAGTATCAACTGGTCATCAGTTGCTGCCCTTTGCTCTAGAATACAGTGTAGCTGGTGAATTGCGGTGTGACAGTTAACCTTGTGATTGAGCAGAAAATGATCATTATTTGTTAGAGAATGGCCGAGGTAAAATAGACGCTAATCAAGAACGTGCTCATCGAGTATAAATGAGTTTATAAATTATGCAGTTATTCTTGTGAATGAAGAAGGAACCTAGTTTTTAACGAACCTAGGCTAAACCGGCGGTTTTTTATGGTCCTTCCAATGACAATTAACTCATTGAAAGCAAGCCAGGTATTCGACAATTTCCTGCTGACATACGCTAGAAAGTTGTATTAAATATAGTGAAATTTGTTTTTGCTAAAGTTCTCCACTTAATGCTATTACCTCTGACTTTCCTTCCTCTTGTGGAACTTTTCACTCAGTGAGCACTCACTGTGAGCAACCAGTGAGCGTCATGTGTATCAGTTGGATGGTTCCTCCATGACGCATACGGATGCGCCATGTGTGTTCAAGGGGTTGGAAAATGTATAGAAAAATGTCTCCTGTGGTGTAGACGCCGCTCGCATGCTTCCTTTGTGAATCATGGACGCTACCAGTTCCTTCCAAGAAAGCATGAAACATAGTCCCTACATTGCCTGAAGGTTGACAAGATTGGCTGAATGAGGAGGTGGACTGGTAATGTAACGCTAATTGGGAATGCCATAAAGGGTGCGTGTGAGGTCCAAAGTTGGCAGATTGTCGGCAAAGAGAGGATGTACAAGACCGAGGGCATGTCATTTGTCGAGGTTGGCATAGCGTTGGAAGGAAATAGATGTTCAGTGTTGTGTACAGATGCCTAGCCGAGGTAACGCAAACCTTCGTGAAGAGGTTGAATTTCGTCTCAATATGGAGCAGTGGCTGACTGTCAAAGCATGTTCGATAGAGATAAGGCTTTTTAGATGTTACAAAGCAGCTTTAATGTTTTCTTCTCGCTACGGCTCACTGAAAGCGAACTGCCGATGATCATCCACAGCTCCTAAATGGAGTGGTTCAAATGACGTAGACGTGGATGAATAAGGTATGCTAACGATCCACAGGAGGAAACCTCATCGGGCTCGGAAAGGCCCTCATCGGGCCTTTCCGAGCCCGATGGTTGATGGATAAGGTTTTCTGAACCAGCACGTGCGAAAAGAACGGAAAGAGTAAAACATACTTTTCACTTCGAGGTCATTGGTAATGATGACGAAAGGAAGAGATTGCAACCAGACGAAGTTCGGAGACAGGAAACTGCGGTCACCGATAGCACTCAGCTCATTGGAGTCACTACTTCCTTCGTCACTGTTTCTCACACAATCGGGTTTCCACGCCCTGCATCTACGTCATTTTTACCAAACCGCTTTGAAAGACGCTGGTGAAAAATGAGGCCCTGCTGCCGCATGGAGGTTAGCATGAACTCCCATATTCCCTGGGAATCTTGGGCTTTTCCTCTCGCAATTTTGAGAAGTGTAGAAAAGCATACGTTTTTATCCCCAAGGGGAAGGTGGGAAATATGATGCGGCTCTGGCACTCTGTGCATACACCATGATTCGTAGACGCGCGTATTGTTTGTGAAAAGTACTGGATATCCCTTTTGATCCACATCAAGGGCTTCTTCACTTCACTTCACTTCACTCCACTTCAGGGCTCTAGGTGGTCTTTAATACCAGGGCAGAGAGTAGAGGGTGTTGCATAATAGTTGCCCCCCCCCCCCGTGAAGCCTGCGACGCATAACAAGGAACGACTTTGTAAATGTTGTAAGCAAGGGCAAATATTCGACTACAATCCTGCTAGCTGTTGGCAGAGAAATAGCAAAAGCATCTGTAAGATCAATATATGCATTATTCCATTGGCATAGAACCGCAGTGCAACCAAAAAAACTTGTATCGCGGGAGACACAAAAGTTGGCATTCGTTAGACGCTCTCCAAATCGTGATGGTGCAGATCGAAAACAAGTACCGAATGCCATCACCATCAAAACGCAAAGGCTCGTAACGTCCAAGAACGTCATTCATCTCCAGGAGTTAATTCCATCCAAAATTTGTCTTTGATTTTTGATAGCACCTGTCTCCATGAACGCAGGCGTTACGCTACTGGAGGAATTCCTATGCTAAAGACAAAGACCTCCTGTCCTCGGACTTGAGCAATCTTCTCAGCTGAGCACAACTCTGAATACGGATATCAATATATGTCCTAGACTTGGAATGATCCTTAAGGAAGATCCTCAGATTTAAATAAATTTCTTCGCTCAAATCTCAAGTACGAGTACTTAAAAAAGATTTAAACAAAGAAAAAAATGTTGAGTACTCGTACGAGTCTGAATACGGTCCCATGTTCTCTGCAAACAGCAGAGAAGAAAATAAAGAAGATGCATTGTTCTCTGTTGAGGAATTTGAGTAGCTGATGTCAATATAAAAAGTTTTCAGCTAACCTTTCGCCTGTTTGGCTCTTTTAATCTTTTCGTGACATCATCAATTTAGATCGGTTGATGAAATTCCGATTGCACCGGAGGTTCTTTTTCTGTTCGCTGTGTTGGTAGAACATTCTGATTCTGAGTTTTCTTATAAACATGGTTAATTTTGTATTAATGAAGGATCTGGTGGTATCGTCATGTCACTCCTACAGTCGCACCTTATTACTTTTAATTACAAAGCCCTGTTTGAAAGAAGTTATTTTTACCGAAATAGAGACATTTTCCTCTTCGCCCATATTGCTACTTGAGAGCCACTCAGGCAGGCACTCAATCACTATGGACGGTGGCGACACGAAGATACTCGTGTCCCCGATAAGAGAAAAGGAATTTTAAGAACATGAAGTGGAACGCATGCCACGACAGTCAATGATGGAAGGTATTTCTTTGGAATCAGGAGTTTCAACATTGGGCGGCTCGGAACAAATTTTGGAGAAATCGACTTGCCTCAGTATAGGATTCGGACGTCATGTCCAGGGGAATTAGGATACTGTGTGGCATGCCTAAAACTTCAATGCTCAGTGCATTGGGAGACATTGAATTCCTCTGTTCGACCAAATCAGAGGATTTCTTTGGGATTTCTTTTCCTCCAAATCCTGGCTGAAAGCATCATGAAAGAAATAGGATAAATCCATTTCGAGAGGAATCTGAAAAAAATACGCAAAAAACTAGCGACGATTTCATCGATGGCGACTAGTTTTATCCCATGGGGGAACTATTTTGCTTGCTTCCTTTTTTTTTAAATCGTTTGTGCTTAGCGTTGAATCTCGGTCGCACCCAGATCTATGAAGATACTATTACTTTGACTCAGAATCATCCTGCCTCAATAAGTGAGAGAAACGCGAATAAACTCCATAGACAAAGTTCAAGAGCGGGGTCATTTGGAGATTATGGAGCTCAATGGTGCTGTTACATCGTTTTTCCTCTACGCTGATCCCACAGCTCGTTGAACTGCTGATAAAATATTGTTACTCTTGAGAGGTAACCGGCGTGTTCTTCTTCCTGGCTTTGTGCCTGATCAATTGAACAAGCAGTACTTTTCTCAATTACTGCTTTCAGCTTACGGTGTTTCCTATGATTTGAACAAACATTTGACTGGAAGATGCATTGGTTTGCACATTACGTAATGGAACTTTTCCCGAGACATCTCTGTTAAGCGTGGAATTTGGCATGTCTTTCCCACTGCCATATATTTTTACCCTTGCTGTGGAGCCTGTTTCAGCCTGAATTAGATCAGTTCAAAAAGAAATTTCCTATAAAAATTGTTGCGCTGAAGCCATTCTTCAAGAATGTTATGATGTTACGCGTCATGGAAGCGTTACCCGTAAACTTGTTCATTCCTGAGCAGTTCCTCAATGTGCGTTCTCAAAAATTTCTCAATTGGGTTGAATTATGCTGCTTCCCTCTCAGGAATGCCGTCTAAAATTCGATTACCGGCTTCTTTCGGATGAAAAGGCTGAAGCGAGTTCGGGAGCGAAATGCCGCCATCATTGATCGTCCCTTGTGTTTCTCTTTGGAGGTTTCGGGGCCATGTGGCTTGCTCAAATTGCGAATTCACTCATCATCCCTTTCCTTCGTTTCTTTACATTTTGAGTCGCTCTACCCAGGCAACTCAAGTTCTTCCCTCTTCCCTTGCATGAATCCTTCATCTGTTGCTTTGTTCTTCCCATTTTTTAAAATTTCTTTTTGAACATCAGTTACTTAAACGCAAAATTCCATTCAACTAATGTTTGGAGCGAAGCTGTTGATGTTCAGCTATTTTTGTGATTGGCAAGAATTAGAATGCTATATTGTTATCGAGTTTTTCAATTTTTCAGATTCATAAAGAAACTTTTGAATTTGTTCAATACTTTGAATATCCATGACTACTTTGTAAGAGAGATACAGAAAATTGCCTCAAAGAAATCGTGTTACACTTTGTCTTGACTCTAATATGAGCCTGAAACACTATTTCTATTTCTAAATAATATTTCTAGCATAATTAGTTCCTATGAAGTCTATCTTTTCCTTCCTGGTGGGAGAGGGGGGATTTAAGCATAATATTTCGAGACCCGTTCTATAACAGCGCTGAAATTGGGATTTTTTCAATTCCCAGGGAGGTCAACATGCATGAATATCCTCAAACAAATAGATGACGATTGCGTAATGAACATTACATAACAGAGCTGACTGCCTTAGTTATGATCTCTCGCGTGTAATTGGTGGAATTTGTGGTTTCCTTGATTCTTTTTGGTCTTTCTCTAGTCCTTTTGGCTTCCACTTTACTCTATTTCTCATTTTTCCTTTTTCAATACGTCTTTTCATGCAAATTTTCATTTATTCCCATTGTTTCCCCCCTCCCCCTTCAATTTCTTTTCCTTATGCTGCGGCGTATCCTCCATCCTGCCACAATCCCCGCCCCTTGGTTACAGCTAAATAAGAACAGAAGTGATTACAATCAGCTTTAATAGTGCTGTTTCGATTCTATAAGAATCATGAGCCTCATTTGCCATGAGAGTAGACAGGGCCTAATGCACGACACCATCGGGAAGAGACGCGTGAAGAGAACTGAGTGACGAAGAGCGACTTGGAAGTCTCTTGAATGACGAGCTGAGAGCTGAATGATGAGTGGATTAACTAGAAGACAGTTCCTTTCGTTTGAGAAACGTTCGAAGCAAGATTGAATGGGGTTCAAAGCTCGCAATTGTAACTTTCATCATCCCCTTTAACCCTGTTCATGCCACAACGCTCACCTACACTGAGGTCGTTAGGAGGCTTGAAGAAAAGAGAATAGACTCCCATTTCGAATATCCATCCAACAGCTCACCAGAACCCCCCTGAGGGTCTCAGATCTTCAAAAGTATATTACAATCGCGTAAATCTCCTTCCTTTCCTTCCTGTAAACGCTTCACTGCGATGACTTCTTCGGCCTACAGGCTGCTACTTCCTTTCGTGGTTCCTCCGTTTCTGGATGATTTCCCTCTGCCACTTGCAGATGCTGTCCAAACTGGTTGGTTTGCTTTCACGTTTCGTTGAGTTTTCATGAAGTGGATAAGGTTCTCAGCTTCCTGGTAACCCAGACTGAGAGCCTTTGGAGATGGCTTCTTCGACAGCAGTGACATTCCACTAGCACGAGAGGCATTCCTAGCTGAAGGCGCATCTATGTCCATTCGGATTTCACGGGATCTCAGGGATCTCCATGTCTGTTCCCATATAGGCTGGACAGATGACGATGTCTGTCCTGGGATGTCCAGATCGTTGACGATGTCCATCATGGGATGGACGGTCAACGTTGGATGCCACCCATCCGCCTGAAGTAGCATGAGTTTCATTGCTAGACGTTTGAGAATCGGATTGAAACACGGGCAGCAATTGAGGAAAGACGGATAACGGACACTGGATCGTCGTGTCGGAGTGGATCCCCCGAACCACTTCTTCACCCGAGTCCAGATGTTGAACACGTGGAAGATGTATTCCGGGTCCTGCAGGAAGATGGACTCCACGTAGAAGATGAGCTTCACCTGGGACACATGGCGCAGAGCTTCAGCTTTTTCCTTGATGTCCTGCGTCTCGCCCAAAAGAGGGTGAGGACGCCGCTCCAGCAGCCCCAGTCCATGTCGTCTACAAAGAGGAATACGTACATGGATGCTACCATGGCCATCTTCAGAAGGTTCATCACACTCAGCAGATACCTAAGGGGGTTCAGGAGTAGCTGGAGGAATTCCAGGAGGAGAATCAACGAGTTGAAGCCGACCAAGACGAAACGCACCACTGTCCATCCCTTGGCCATGCACTGGAAGTATGCTTTCTCGTCCTGAGACAGTCTTTGAGTGAAATTATCCTTTACAGATGAAGCAGCACTCTCCAGGTCTTGTAAACTTTGGTAAACTGTACAATCAGCACCAAGGCGCCTCTCGTTTCCCAAGTTCGTCATTGATTTTCGTGCTTCCTGCATGCTGTGAAACGCTCCGGCGTTGAGAAAAAAGTATAGCAGCACCAGGTAAAGCAAATACACGATGCAGAGGAGTTTGTAGATCGTGGAGATCTGTTGCCACTTGAGATCCAGGAACGCGGTGATGACCGGGTGTTTGAGGACCACATGGTGCTGGGGGCTCTTGGTGATCCACCACAGACACGTCGTCTCAGCGAACATCGACTCTTCAAATTTTGACTTTTCCACGTCCTTCGATTCTTTCGATTCTTTGGGAGGCATCAAGAAGGTCAAGTCCAGTTGGGCCTTGTAATCATAGCCTCTGCCGTTTTCATGCATGCACCCGTCCAAGTACTCCCATAGGGTATCTGGGGAAATCCTCTGGAGAGGAGATTCGTATTTCTCGTTGTGAATCCAAATCTTCGCTCCCTTCTCCAACAACTTGAGGACGACCCCTGGGCAAAAGTATGTGGCGTAATGGAGCGGCGTGTTCCACCACTTGTCTTGGCAGTTCGGGTCTGCTCCTTTCTCCAGGAACAGAGAGACCATGTAGTCGTTTCCAAGAATGCATCCCCAGTGCAACAGGGTGCGAAAATTGTGGTCCTTGAAATCCACACCAAGGGAATACGTACGCTTGTCCAAGATTTCCTCTATCTCTTTCTTTACTTTTGTCTGCTTGTCCCTTAGGCGGTTGCCACGCTCCGGTTTATTCTCCAAATCATTCAGTTTAACCGCCAATTTCTTCAGTGTGTTCACCAAATACGCGGATTCGAGGTAAAGGTTCATTTCATCTCTCTTCCCTCCTGAGCCATCCTCGACAGTTTCTTGCACCTTGCTGTTGCCATCATAAGTCGTACCCCCTTCGTGAACCTGCAAGGCCATCGAATTTGAATAAGTTCTAAAATACTCTGTCGAGGTCAGCGTAACTTCACATCAGTCCAGTTTGTGAGAACAGAATGAAACTACCTTGTGTACAGGGTGACAACAAAAATGTTTTACATTTCATTGGCCCATATTTTCATTATTTATTAGGGTAGAAAATTAAAATACATGTCATATGATAGACGAACTCAATAAGTGTTTTCATGTTGGGAAACATGTTCTAACCGTTTATTCCTTTGGATAATTTTTTTGTAACACTCAGCGGCGTTTTCAATAACATTTGCTAATATCTTGTGTGGGTGTTGTCTCTGAGTGCTGTAACCTCAGAACATTTGAGTCTATTCATGATGTGTAGATTTGTGGAGAATACCTTTTCTTTAAGGAAACCCAATAAAAATAAACTAGCAGTTCATTATCAAGAGATCTTAGTGCTTATCAAACTCATCAAAGCTATGGATTTAATGGGGTAGTTTACTTGGGGGGGAAAAAAAGAGCAAAAATTTAAATCATTCAGAAATTTGTTGAATGCATTCACCTGTTACTGTGAAGAGAGAATTTAAACGACGGTTTCCTGATAAAACACCTCCATCAAATTTAACGATGAAGAATATTGTTGGTAAGTTTGAAGAGAAACCATTATGAGCATTAGAAGGGAGATATCTAATGTCCAGCAGATCCTTCTGATCGTAGACTGTTGTCTTTTGTTGTAAGGTTTCCTTAAAGGAATGGGGTGGATTGCATGAAACAAACTTGAGTCTAATGGAGCTTTAAGCCTCCTTTAGCGGCGCTAAAGGAGGTGTAAAGCTCCAATAAGCTAATGTCAGTTTCATGCAATCCACACTAGGTGTTCTCCACAAAACCACACAACATTGATAGACTCTAATGTTCTGCGGTTACAGCGCTCAGAGACATAACGTAGGAGACACTGGACAACGCTATTGAAAACAATGTTGTATGTTGCAAAGAGATTATTCAAAGAAATGGTGAAATTTTTGAATGTTTCTTAGCATTAAAAAATTATTGAGGTCATCTATCACATTAAATGTAATTTAACTTTCTAACTTAATAAATAATGAAAATACAGGTCAATGAAAAGTGAGACATGTTTGGTTGCCACCCTGTATAAAGAACTTTAATTTATGTTTCATATTTGAAGGAATCAAGCAAGTTATTGAAAGTAAAATTTGCAAATTGGGCAAATTGTGAAGGTTCGAAATTCATAATATGCATTTTCTGACATGAAAAAGTGAAATGCAGTGCTGGACCAGTTTAGTGAAGTATTTGACGTACCTTAAATCTAGATTCATTACAAGCTTCGTTTTTGGATTCAATAATTTCATTTAACATAATCTAAACTGGAATAGCGTGGGAGACGGTGCTCTTGCATGGTGTCATTTGACCCTGGCAGTTAGGGTCTTGTATCGGAAATCCTTTGATATTTGAAATTTTGGATTTACCTGTTGCTCATCCCCTTCCTCGTCCCGTTTGACATTATCAGCCAGAGGTATATTTTCCCCTTCTGAATCACTTTCCTCGTTCATGCGCCCCGTCGATGTCATTATTGGCATACGTGCATAAGCACCATATCCCCGGCGATCCTATGATAGCGTCGCTACAAACCTGTAAGAGAATCCTGCTTTGAGTAACCTTGCATTTTATCTATCTCTGGAATTGAAACCGTAATGTCTGCCCGGAAAATAAACGTTTTTCAAGATAATACATTTCAGACGCAGGAAGGGGGATACACATCACTATCTACAAACAAAAACATAGTAGTAAGTATCATAATGTATATCTCACTTCCACAGCAGTTCACTGAAACCATGATTATGATGGAATCATATGGACTTTCTCGATGCTTTTCTAACGAGGCCAGCTGCATCGCAGACTGACACTTCAAGGAATGGAGACATATCAGAGCTCCAACGAAAGCATTTCCTCTCCAGCATAACAGAGCTCTCGCAAATGTGTCCCCTCTAGATAAGACATGTGAACAAACATTCTTATCCGGGTAGTCTGGAATATCCAATGGGCTATTCCATGGACGATTCTAGTAGTGAAAAAGGAGGAAAAGGAGAATGAATGAGAAGGCTGCTAAGCTTCGAGTACGAGATGCAATACTAAATAGGTACTAATCACGTACTTGCCATTAGTTGTCTGATCAAAACAAACGGGAACTGGTTCATCCATGTGAATGGTCCAATTGCGATGGCACAGTCCTATTTATTCAGTCTGATTTCGTTCGAAGAAAGAGATTGTCTACAGCTTGTATTTTCTTCACCCCGTTTTGAGCATTTGTTAAAAATTGCAGTGTTTTCTACAGTTGAGCTTTGAATCATCACCCACTTTTTATACTGTGAGGGAAGGAATCGGTTGAAGTTCATTAGCAATGAGTGAAAATGGAGGGGATAATTAGACCTCAAGAGAGAAATTTGTAGATAATTTTCTCTCAAACGGCAGATAATGTGTTCAAGATGAAACGCAGTGTACGGCCACTCACATGAACATGCAACCGAATCACGAAGCAGTGGGTTCACATCAATGTGTCCTTAAGCAGGTAAGAACATTTTGTGTATTTTATGTCATTCGATATCAGCATTTGCGACTATGTCTCTTGAAATGTAGTATGTTTGCTATGTAAAACTCATTAACGCAGCTCATTAATTCATCATGAAACAGATGTTCACCCTCATGTACAGTATATATGAAGTTCCTATGCATTGTATACCAATTGTAAATGAATTACATATTGACGAAAATGCCTCTGATGAAAACGTTTTCGATTTTCGTCAAGGTCACGAAAAAGAAAAGGGAGAAGTACGCACTGACGAAAGGTTTCCAACAAATCGTCACCGTGTTTTGGGAGAAGTAATATCAAAGTACTATTGAACTATTACAGCAAAATGGACTGACGCATCAGCATGCCGATACTGCATCTCTTTAACTCCACACAGATCAATCTAAGTGGGGCGAATTTCCTTCGCTGGAAGTTATATTTACCCCGCGCAAAAAAAAATGAAGGACGAAGCACATGGCTACCAAATATTCCTGCCCACACATTCGGCTTTTAAGGCGTTAGCACGTTTCTTCCAGTCATTCAGTGTGGGATAAGATAACTCCAATAACGGCAGCTATGTTGATTTCCATCGACATTGGCATAAAGGAGGCCTCATGAGTGAAAACACTCCTTCCCAATATTAATGCTAGTTACTGTTGTGTCCCAAAACCTTAGTCTCCCCTCCCTCTGAGCAGTGCGATTGCGTAATAGTGACGCACGACAGACTTCCCATCTGAGTTGCTGGTATCCATCGGCATATCAACAGGCTTTTTGTCATATGTGCCCATCACCAGCCTATATTAAGATTTGTAGATGAAAAGGGTCTTGTCCCCAAATATGTCTCTCAATATATATTTCCGGAATGTTATTCTGCTTCAAGATGTTCCTTGTCCCCCATTTCCCCCTTTTTGTAAGAGCCTGAGAATGCCTAGGACATGGACGAGCGATTCCCGTCGACGACCAGATCTCTTGCCTCTGAGCCCGTAGCGTCCACTCCGTAGCTATCACTCCGTAGCTTCTGTTACCCGATGGCATCGATTTCTCCAAGTATGCGGAACTGAATGAGGAATGTCCCCCGGGTGGCATAAAGCCCGTGAGTGTAGGATTGCATGATTCTACAATAATTGAGAAAAATATGCATTATTAGAATTTTTCAATTGGCATTACTCAACGCTTCACTCTCTCGTTCATTGGCGAAGGTTATGCAGCATGAAATAAATTTTCAACGAGCTTTAAAATTTATTCAATACTGAGAAAAGCGAATAAAAAACGTTCATAGGGAATGCCACTGCTAATTTCTATGGAAAAGAATAATTCTACAATGGACAATAAACGATGAATATATTTTGCCTTTGATAGAATTTGCAACAATACAGGGGTATATAAAATACAATAATATACTAGTATATTGCATACATTATTTAATGAAAGGAATCACATATTCATTTGTGTAATTAATGTTCCTCCGGTCTTCGTCAGTGAACGAGACAGAAATAATCGACACTCAATGCTGTACTCGGAAGAAATCGCAGTCCCATGTTTATTATCAATTTCCAAATTCTTTTCAGAAAATTTTCATGACCATGTTGCGGGTGAATCAATTTTGGCGAAATTTAAAATCATATTGTAAACATATCAGTCCAACCATATCAATCCAGTGCAAGTTTCGTGAAAATAGCTCTCGTGAGAGCAGAGTTATACAAGCTAAAAGTTATTGGTAATTTTTACATACACTTAATGTTGTGTGGCCATTAATTCGATGGTTGTGTCTCCTCTTATGCTGACCGCGTTACTTATTTGAGCGTCACTTCCAAGGCATCTCAAGTGCTGGGAGATTTTCTCCAGCCCTTGCTCAAACTCACTGATTGACTTGCTTCCCTTCTTTTACATTCCCTTCTTAAAATTAATGTCCTCATCTGATGTGGGATTTCGCGAAAACTAAACATTTCCACAAAAGATGTTATAGGTTTTCTAGGTTAAACGTGGTAAGGAGAGAGTCAAATGCGACGAGGACGTTCAAATGCGTCACTGTGTTGGATGATGGATTAAAAAAAAGCATCTTAGGCATAGGGATGTTGAAATGCGACAGCTATTATCTCGCGGTCGTGCCACGCTGCTGCCGTCTTGCATTTCCATCACAGGCGACTCAATATGTTCTTCCATCAGACGTTTGCACTTAATATCATTGCCAACCATCGAAACGTCAAGTTATTAATAATGGAAGGTGTCAATTGAAGGTTCAGATGCCAATAGTTAGGTTTTCATAGTCGGGGTTGGTTCTTGGAATAAATTTCCACAAAAAACTGAGAGAGGGAGGCCAAAGTCCGACAAGATAAAAGAGGATAGGAGCGTTTTGGGGTACCCCTTAAAAAGGGAAACATTTGTATTTAAAGCCAATTTTTGACGAAATAAATTCAAATGTAGAATGGAAATGGTCAGCCGATAAAAAAAAGGCAGCCGCCTGGTACAACCATGAGATAAAAATGCCGTGTTTGAATTTCCTTTTCACATTTGACTTCCTTATTACCACATTTGACCTTAAGAAGCTACAAATTAGGGAGTGTCTATCTTCTGGCTCTGGATGCTAGCGCGAAAGAAGTTATAACTTTGGTCTTCATCGACGAATTTCAATGAAAATGTTGTATTACATCCCATACATACTAAATATGAATCCCTGCTAATTTCTTGTAGATGCAAAGTATAATGTGTACAGTTGAGCTTTCTGATCACTAAGAATTACATTCACCCGTCGTAGGCAGTATTGCGAAAACTTCGTTTGAATGAATCATTCACATCCTGAGTATCAGCTCTTTTTTCACGATGTTAAAGAAATTATAGTACGGTTTGTGTATGTTTGTGTCTATAGTATTCAGCTATTCAATATATTCAGCCGCAAAAGACACACTTGGTTCAGGACAAAAGATTTGATTGATGGGGCTGTGAGAGGCAAGGAGTCAAAGAGATACGTGTACATCTGGCCTCAGGCAGGTCATTGGGGGGCTAAAGGTTCATGACACGCTTCAGTATTGTCAGGTAAAGGACAGCACATTTCAGTCCGCTGAGAGAGATCCATTGGGATTCCCCTTCACCCGATTGAACAAAAGAAAGTCGGCAACCCTGATTTTCAAGGAAAATCCCTCCATTCACCATGTCGCAGGTGAGGAGCATAAGTGGTATTTAATGACCGAGGCTCCCCTTTGACCTGTTACATCGAAGCCGCAAGTGTGTATTTTGAGGCCGAATAGACTATACTGTACCTGTCAAGCTGAACTGAGGCATAGCAAGATTCGCCGTGCACAGAGTATGGATTCTGTGTTCGCATGCTGACACGCTGGCTGATTTTGGAGTATAAGAGAAAAATTAGACAATTTCATTTTAACTTTCGTAGCAGTGTCTAGACATCGCCCGAAATGGTAATCCGTCAGCTGGAGTGTACTAGGTAACGTTTGGACCATTTTTGATCAGGCCAAAATTCTCGATTCCCCCTTTTTGATATTTTGCAATAATATGTTTTACAGGGTGGCACACCTTATGAAACATATCACATTTCATTTCCTTTCACATTTTGTCGCAGCTCAAATGCATTTACAAATCTTATGTCCATCCTTCGTTGCACTATACCTAGGCATATATTGATCCTTTCATGAAAAACCTTAAATCTGTGCGAAAAAAAATTATAACGACGGAGATGTGACCCTATTTTACTGGATTCTTTGTGAGTGAGCGTTGCTCTTGTGCTGGTGTTAACACTGAGACTGGTGTTTAGATGAGTTATCAAAACTAACACTGGGAGATAATGCCAACACGGAACAACACCCGATTTGAACTCACCCACTGTCTTGATGTTGCTTTGACTGAGCGTCAAAGAGAGAGACAATTGAGGGCTTTCGGTGGCTGGCAGGAACATCGAGTGCCGACGGTAAATGCACGGCCTGGATGGCTGATAATGGTGGTTTGGGACGGACCTGAGTCACGCGCTGCTCCACGACTCAGCACGAAAATAGAACGAGGGAGGGACGCTGGATGAAGGTGCGGCAGCGAAACGACTGCAATTCCGGCTTCAAACGGGGCTGCGGACTGGAAGATGGACCGATTGAAGGATTGAAATAGAAAATATCATATCGCAGCTTTGCTTCAAAGACCCTAATAAACATATGATGCCATACAATTCAATGTTCAGTCGGAGACGAAAGTGATACCCAAGATATGACCAGGGTCATAAACTCTGGGCCATTATGTCTCGGAGTGGTTCCTCTCAGAATGTTCTACTCCGACTCGTGCCTTAGTGTCTCTTGCAATTGTTCCAATGGTACCCAATCTGGCTTTTGCCGTTGAATCTCTATGGTGACTTCCCCTTTCAGATGAAAGCTTTCACTACAGAAGGCTTTTATGCCGAAGTCTTTGATACAACTTGCGTCCGCATAAATATATGGCAACAGCGTTAGAAGTAACATCTGATTCGCACAATATCAGTGATTCAACGGAAAATGTTTAAGTGTGCGAGTCGTACAGTTCCTACATGTCTAGCTCTCCTTAGCCTGTCATTTTTTATTCACCAGAGAAATGATTATGGAATGTGTTGGATTGGATGAGAAATTTCGCCGCTGATGACAGTAGGAGACAGCGTCAAAGCTAACCATAGGTGTGACTTTTCATTTGAACAGCATGAACCAGAAGCTAAGAATCTTAGGAAAGCCTCCTACTTACATTCCTCGTACTTACTTTTTTTGTAACTGTCGAGAATGAGCTACGAGCTAGGGTTCACACGAGGTGTCCCTTTTCAATGCTGAATATTTTTTTATTTAGTGTTACTCCGGTATTAAACTCCCTGGTTTATAATACAAGGATTACTTTACATCGATGTTCTAAGGACTCATAGAAGAACACCGCCATCATATTGGATCCAATACCCAATTTGGGATGAGATGTCGTATTCGAAACATACGATACGTTTTGAATTAGAGACTATCATGCCGACAAGCTATTTCCACTGAAAACAGTTATGCATGCTCTGCGGTAGAGGCATGCTTGCCCAAATCAGTGGACGGTGGAAAAAAGATTAATCTATTATGGAGACATTTCCCCAGTTTTCATCCACTTGTATGAAATCACAACTTCTCATCATTCTTAAATTAGGAATTTTCAATTAAGTAATGAAATTTCTGGTCTGGTATGTGTGCGCTGGGAACATTTCCCAAGAGGATAGATCCGGAAGTATGCCCATGAAGTTCTGTACGTTTTTGCAGCCACCTTCCCCCATCCCTCGAGCATTTGGCAAGTCTTCTCTGAAGTTCCTCATCCTATGACATTGAAACATTGATAGACTTTTACCAACGTATTCAAGTGTTTCATTTTTCAACAAAATCCCCGTAGTGACAGTTTCTGGCCCCTTTCCCCTTGGCCCATATTGAAATTGAAAATATTTGGCAAGCTTTTTCTACGTGACTATTCGTCCCATACCCTTGAAGCTATAATCGATTTCGTGGTGCTTTACTGCAAGCGTGAATACCAAATATCGTCAAGTTCCTTCTTGGTCGTGCTTTTTCATTCCTCGATTTCGTTGGGTGCACGTGAAAGGGTCCTTATTGCTCCTATAGGGAACGACGTTAGAAAAAACTTGCATTGCAGATTAATTGCTTAATTGTAGGCAGAATGTTCCCAGTACTTCTTTATTCTTTTTCCAAAACGCAAGGTTGACATGAGGAAAAAGTCCTTGTAGCACGGAATTCCAAAAATGTTGCTTGTGTTGCGCAAAGACTCCTCGAGGTTGCATATTTAAAGTATAAATAATCAGGGATAACAAGAAGCAGTCAAAGAGGAGCTCTCCATTCTTCACATTTCAGCGTTGTCGGCATTCCCTCAACCCGATAACCTGACAAACAGGTATAAACTTTCCACGGAAGGGAAGTAAGTCCACAGTATGAGATGGAGGGGAGGCAATGGCATCTTGGTTTTGAGGGTGATCAAAAGTTGTGCGAGCGCTTCAAACTTACGTCGAGATTGGGGATTTTCTTGCTGAAAAGAAACAAGAAAAACCTCTTGATTTTCGAAGAAATGAATGTATGCCTCCCGGTATGAAATATCCCTTTATATTTTAATAGTGCAGCTTCAACCGAGCACTTTCAGTACGTTGCATATTCGCCATATTGCTAATCTCTCAGTCCCGATGCTAGTCAGACGAGGACTTACGGCCTTACGAACAGTCTTATATACCAGTCCATAAAATCGCAATAATTTTCGTGATGCTGCCAGACAAAAAATTGAGTCCTAGGACTTCTTCGTCACGCCTTGTAGTTATCACGAATGCTCAACAGTAGCTGATGGCAGTAGCTGATGCAATCAATAAAACATGAAATAATTAATGACGGCGACTATGAACTAGATATGTATGAAGCGATGAATCTCACCAGAATTCCAAAATGCTTTTCTGTCTCATCGCAAAGGATGGGTAGATGGGTTTATTTGAAATGGTAACCTGGGGACTTGGACCATTGGCTCCTTCTTGGACTTTCTGGTTCCCCTTCAGGAGACGTTCCGGGGACTCAGACAGGAGTCGTCGAGCGAGAGGCTGTTGGATAATCCTGGACTGTTCGCAAGCGACATCTGGTTTTGCTGTTATTGGAGTAGCAGAGGATTCTACAGCATCATACGTATGTTTTCCTCCATGTATTGCTTCTTCTGCTCGGATGTCCATCATAGTCTTACACTTCATTTGAGCTTCCTCCTGTAACTAGACATCCTCAGCAAATTGAATTACCGAAAAAACCTTTCCTTCCGAAAAATTGGGCCTTTCCTTATGAAAGAGAAGAGTCACGAGGAATAAGGGATATGATACCACATCTGCTTCAAGGGAATCTGAGGAAAGTAGGAAACTGACTAGATTGTAACGCTATCTCATGGTTACGTGGAGTGAACCTTAAGTTGAAATGATATGCCATCACCACCTTGAGAAAATCTTTCATCACATCTGTCTGATGGAATTATTGGTCACCTTGCATATTCTTATGTACTGTAGCAAGTAATTCAAGGTAGCCTTAAACTAAGGTAGATAATAGTCTGACCTGGACAAAGTTTTCCCCAATTGCAAGTCTGATAACAGGAAAGCAACGCGAAGACAGAATGTAATAAGCACCTTTTCGCCATGGTGTCTGGTGCCATTAAGGGAATAAACTAGAAAAAATTAAAATCTGAAATGAAGCTCAAACGAACGATGCCTTAATGAAATTAAATTACTACAATATCTTGAATGACATGTACATTTTACAGATGCATGTTAGTTCTAAACGTTCTTGGAGAATAAAGGCTCTAACTTAATACATAGTGAATAAACCGGATACTGTTATGACTCACAATTATATTCATTTTCTCGTGAATCTGGTTGGTGAGTCTCATCAGGTCGCCCTCTCCCTGTTCAGCATCCTAGCCAGTATAAGAATGGAGTAATTTTGCCAATAATCACTTCATTGCACTTCAGACATTTTCAAGCAGCAGTTTTCCTCATTCACCTTTTCTTACACACGATTTCATTTCCGACTGCTGCCAAAATTTTAAGGCAAACTCCATTAAAAACCAGCGAACAAGGTACCGATGTAGGAAGCCTATTTGCATATTGTCAATATGACCTACTGCATTAATGTGAGAAGAGACTCACCTGGACAGGCAATGGAATCACAGCATGGCTAAGGAGGTTACCCGTCGGCTCCGCTAGAAGAAAAGAAATGAAATGTTTCAAACTAGAGCAATAAACAGCGACAATCATGAGATATCCAATGACAGAACTTAAGCTAAGCCCTAGTTCAAATAGGAATCTTCCTTTTTGATCATGTACGGTTTTAATGCATAAGCACCGCCAAGTGGGATTTTCCTTGATTAAATCCATGTTGGTCCACATTAAATGCACCTTCAAAAGTCTAAAATACGCTGTAAAAATTTCAATATGAACTTTACAAAAGACAAGCGAAAATAATCCAATTTCTTTTGGAAGCAAAGGTTGAAACAAACACAGCTGCTAACGCCAAAAAAATCATCAACCACGTCAGCCGAGTTATTCCATTGGCTTCAGATATGATCATCTTCTGGTAGCGTCCACGTAATGGTTTTTGGTATGCAAAAGAAACTCTATACCCGGCTGAGATGCTCCTTAAAAGCGCTGTTTCAATATGGCATACTGATGTAACACACAATTAATTAAATTATTTGTAGATGAATACGCCAGCCTAACTATGAAAACGCGATGCTTATCTAAGTTTCAGTAAAATCACTTTTGGAATTCTGTCAAGGAAATACTTTGCTTTCCCTTAATATTGCGTACTATTGGGATGATAAGTAGGAAAGCCGGTCTGCGTGGGAGCAATCTTCTCTTTCTCAAATTCCTCCCAGGCAGCCTTCCTCTCCTCATCTGTCAACTCCTCCTATTCCTTGTTCTTCAATAGGGAATCATGAGTATGGTAGGAGACGATCCAGTGCCTCTATCGCTTCCAGAGCCTCGCGAGGAGACGGTCCCTTGGGACGGGTGGAATCTTTTGGTCGTCCCCATACGGGTCAAAGCGGTACAGTTCTCGAAGGTCGGCCGCGTTGAAGTGCCGCTCGATTTGCTGCTCGTCTACCACACGACATGATAGGCTCAACTTGGTCACCTGGCGATCGTACATCCTCTCTTCCATCGTCCCCTACAGAAAGGACAGAATACAGAATTTTGCAGTTCAGAAATGTTTTTAATTCCTGGTAATGATGGGAGCTGCCGCCCGTTCAAGGTCTTAAAATGCTTTAAAAGTTAAACTACATTGATCGTAGGAGCTTCATTTTCCCAAGAGCCAAGAGTTAATCACCAGTTCAATAGACGACTGCAGCAAACTTGCAATACCGGAAAGGGAGTGGAATACTGGTGGAGGCATCTTACTGCAGCTGAGTGCATAGAAAAAAGGGGAGTGTTGGGTCTACATGGGAAGACGCAAGGTCGCCCAAAGCTCTTGACATTTCGCAAATCTTTAGCGGCAGGACAGGGTCGTTTGAAGATTTTCTTTACTACTCTGAAGCAGTGCATTCGAAGATTGACATTTTGTGTTAGAACGAAGGTCATACAATTCTATTCTTAAAATTCACGCCCCAAGGTTGTCATTCCGATTTCATCAATTCACAAACTTCTGGGAAAAGGAACTTGAAAGCCTGACGGTTTTCCTCTTAAGAAGTGGCTTCTTTTTTTTCGTAGTTGACACTAATGACTTGAAAACTTAGATACACCACCACATATGGACCGAGACCCAAACAAATCAAAAGTATGCACGGGAAATGCGGTATGTGATCACATGTTGTGCGCGCGACGAATAAATCGATAACGTGGAATGAATCATCCTAATCTCTTGGAGGAAAAATCGATAGATCCTTCACCTCTTGTCTTCAATGTCTGGGATTGTTCGTCACCTGCTCCCATCCCTCATCATTTTCACCGATTCGTATACAGACCCCATTCAGCCCCCTAACGTATTCTTATTAATACTATTCTTCTATATTTAACACGTTCACTGCTGAAGGGGTTTGGAACCACAGTTCTTCCCTATGGCGAATACGACACCGGCGTGTCACGTGGCGGTCAACGTATAGAGATATGCATCAGGAAGTTTCCAGGATTATGGAGAAAAAAAAATATTTTCATTCTGTTATTAACGTACTTCTTGCCCCCTCTTTAAATTCCATGCGAACAACATCTCTGTCGGTGGCAAGAATTAAGTGATTTCTGAATTCTAAACTTAGCACTCCTTTCCCAAAGTAACACGGGAGGGAAAATGTAACCTTGGCAAAGAAGCGGTATACGTAGACTTGTTTTCGCTGCCCCAACCGATAGACCCGAGAGAGTGCCTGGACATCATTGGAAGGATTCCACGAGGTATCCAGGATAACCACCCGATTCGCACCCACCAAGTTGATACCCATTCCACCTGCTTTTGTCGATATCAGCAACAATCGCGCCCTGTGGATGTAGTGAATCATGAATATACTCTTTTCAAAAGTCCTCTATGGACCAGTTACTTAGAGTGCATTTAGAAATACCGATGGTTCTCCGGGTTGTTGATGAGAGTGGTGATGTCCCTCCGGGTACATACGTCTGTACTGCCGTCGATGCGAAAGTAGTCCCTACCGTGTACCCAGGACCACTTGCGCGGATCGTACTCCTGGCTTTGCTCTCCTCGTTTTGAACCAACGTCATTGGCACCAGCGGTTTCGGCAGTTACTTCGAGGACTATCTCGGGATCCAGCGTCATAAAGATTTGGTCCCGGTTTGAGGCAAGAAACTCAAGGAACTGCTCCACTAAGTCAAGGCAGAGGCGGCTCTGCGTAAACACCAAGCTGTCAACAACAGTAGCCAGTCTGAGAATTAATAATGAATTGTCTATCTATAAAACCTTCTCAAAACTAATATATTGGCATAGAATCATGTACATACTGATCAGTTTAAGCAACTTTTTCATTAAGACTAAAGTTACTTAGCAATTAACAAAAAAAGTAGTTTCTCAGCTCTCAACACAAAGGAGTTTGTCGCCGATGAACATTCTATCCAATACGTACCCATTTGAAGGGAGGTACTTATTACCAGTCAACAGCATACATGTGAAATATCGGTTGGCATATCTAATATGTATAGACGATCGTGACTGACTGACTGACGCTAATTCTAACGATATTCTAGAAGGGTTAGAAATCTGAAACTTGGTACACACGTACCTTTTGGGATGTAGAGTTTAGAAAAAATCCGACTTTGGAGGTACATGCCCTAACAGAAATGGAAAGGTGAAACTTGGCACACGTATAAGTGACGATATTACTGAGCTGAGGGAGTATTAAGGTTTCATGGTGCATCCCCTCCAGGCATGGCTTTTCGGTGGGTCTTCTTTTCCAAGCATGTTTCTTCCCCAGCGAAAAGGGCAAACGTATAATATTGAAACTTAATGGGCATGTAGTTCACCGGGCAGACATAGAAAAGTAGCTGCCGCACGCATCGCTGACGTGATGTTGACTTGAGGAAAAACTAAAAATGTTTATACGTCCCCTCAGAACACAGCTTTTGGTTGGGTCGCTTTTCCAAAAACATTTTTTCCGCTAGCAAAAAGGGGAAACGTATAAGGCTGAAACTGGGTGGCATGGAGTTCCATGAGTCAACATTTCAGAAGAAGAAAAATATTCGTTAAAACCAATCAGGATACTTATTTTTCAGTCCCATTTTCCTGATTTTTTTTTGATCCAACGAAACAGAGACAAAAAATTTTCACCTCCCTCAAAAATACCTATCTGATGGATGAGTACAGGAAAAATCCTACTTTTGAAATATGTTCCAATAGCGTAGATTATAGGAGGGAAGTATTTAAAAATGTATTCTTCACCCTTACAAAAAGGGACACATGAAATGATTTCAAGTTATGCACACTAGAAAGAATAGAAGTAATGATTTTGATAAAAATGAAAACTTTCGTCCCCNCTCCACCCTTACAAAAAGGGACACATGAAAAGATTTCAAGTTATGCAATCTATAAATCATAGAAGTAATGATTTTGATAAAAATCAAGACTTTCTTACCCATATATCATGTATTTCAATGGGGATGTACTGTACATACGTGCTTCCCATTTCGCAAATAATAAATGAATTAATCACTATCAAAGGTAATGGAGCGCTGAAGGCGCGATCATAGCGAGTTTGTTTGCCCGAAGGGCAAACAAACTCGCTAGTACAGTATACTGTTTGATAAATTTGATGTTAGTCCCCAACAGCCATAAATTACTTTGTTGATCATAGTTGAAGCTCCATCATCATCTTAAAAAATTCAGGATAGAGCCCGAGTGTGGGAGGAATATACAGGGTGGCCCAAAAAATATTGCACTATTTGCACTATTAATTGCACTATTAATATGAACATTCATTTTTGATGACCTAGACTTAAAGGATGACGTAGAAAAAACCCATATTGAATATGGGTTACTAAAAATCAGCGTTGCATTCACCGACAGCATACGGAGGCTGGCACATCCAAACAGCCTCACGACGTCTGCTAAGGTCAGCGATTTCCTTCCTCTTCTCTTGAGTGAAGTGGCGTCAAGTGGATGCTGGGTCGAGTTGGTGAGTGCAACGCAGATTTTTCGTAGCCGAAATTCAAAATATATTTTCAAAGTCATCATTTAAGATATTTCAAGTCTGACGAAAGCATTTTGTAGCTGAATCTTTCTTCCTTTCATTACATGTAACCAGAAAAAAATCTTAGAAAGCATCACACCCAAAATGCGCGTTGAATATAGTGCCATTTTTGGGCCACCCTGTATACAGTATTCTCTATGGGAAAGAGACTCACACTTTGTCCTTGATAATCTCACAGTAATGAAGGATGTCTGCGAGGAGCACCATCTTCCCACTCAGGGCATAATCTTCCACATACACGCCCGACTCTTCAATAATCTTCTTCCACCACAACGATTGAGCTTTCTCCTCAGCTGATGAAGCGCAAAAACAATTCCTTATGGACTGTGGGTTAAAAAAAAAAGTTATTTTATGTTGGTTTCTATTTTTATTCGTCTATCTATAATATCTCCCATTTCTGCAGGTTTCTCTCATCATGAACTCAATCATAGAGTTCTAATTATGACTACCTCTTATGTTTTTCAGAAAATGTCAAGTCTTGTCGATATTGATATAATATCGACAAGACAATTTTATTGATAGAACATTTCATTCCCAATCTTCTTCTGGAATACATTCTGCAACCAGCCCTTATTTCTTATTTTCTGTAAATTTTCGGTAGTATGGAACTCTTTTAGGACAAATTATTTTCCATCACTTTGCGAAGTGCATCCTATATCAGTTCAAATAATACCTTTTGCCAAAAATAGTGATTTGACGACTATACAAGGTATCTTGTTACGTTACCAGTGTCCCCTGAATATATGGTTGCGGAATTTTGAACTTGATTGCAAACTTCATTCAGCGGCATGTCCCAATTTGGCGCACAGCGAACGAGCAGGACTAAATAACTTATACTTCCTTACGACCAAGACCAAGAATTGGTGAGTGTGAGGAACGAGGAGCAACTCTACCATTTGGTTCAAGTCCACCGGAGGCAGCTGAGGATCGAGGGCCAGAGAAAGGGTCGGCACCTTTATCAAATACTTGATTCCGCTTCCTCTGCAATCAAATCAGGTATTCTTTCTTCAAAAAATTCTTCTGCAACTGAGTTAAACTTGCAAAATTTTTTTTTTTATCCGTAGGAACGGTAGAGGTTTCGGCTTAATTCCTTCTTTATTCCTTCAGAGTAACTTACAGAAGTCTATGGAGCATAATTTGAGATGGTTCGTTCATTTTCTTGTCTGGCTCATTTAGACGCATAAGTTATTAAAACTTCGTGAAATGTACCATGCCTCGGAACCTTCTCTGTAGTAATCATATGCAACTAATACAGTATACTTATATTTTAGAATAGATTAAATGGGGCGAATATGTGCACTTGGGGAATTTGGGCATCTGTTCATTATTCTTTTTCGGTCTCGGAAAGAGACATACTACTAATTGGTAATATTGCTGATGTAGTAATGCTTCCTGTCTTAGGAAACTTATCTTGCTCCGATGTGTCTGTGTTATCAACATTTAAAATGGCAACGTCTTGCATTTGTTGCAATACTTGTGACGAATTGTTACTTTGATGTGACCACATTCTCGTTTTAACGGAATATAATGGATACCTATGAAACGGTTTACTGTTCATGAAGTAGTTCCACTTCTGATCTATCTCATTTTGGGTATTTATTTCTTTTTCTCTTAGGATACTTGCCTTCACTTCCATCATCTTCTCATGCATGATGAGGGTTTTTGGGTGGGTCCAAATGCGTGAGAGGGCTTGGAAGTCGGAGAAGAGGGATGCCCCGCCACCTCTCAGCCCTTTCCGGAACCGACAGTAATTTTCCAAGTAATGTTGGTAGAGGTCAATCTGAATGGGACTCAACCGCACGCTAACAACGTATTCCAGCTTAGGAGGCAGGAACGGCGTAAGCTCCCCATCGTCTTTCCTCTGTAGAACAACTTATAATGATTATTTCCAGTACATGGGTCGCAAGAAAATAAGAGCGAATGGAAGGTACACCAGATGACTTACTTGGACGCAGTCCTTCAGGAGATCATGAAGAACATGGGAGCGACGCTTCATCACTTTCACGTCTTCCACTGTGGAATCGCTGTGCTGTCCGTTCTCGATCGGGTTCACGAAGCGGTTGGTGAATTCCTTCAGCGTTCCCAGGAGATTGGGCTTTACGAACTGGATCATGCAAAAATACTCCTTCAGGTTGTTCTGCAGCGGTGTCCCAGTGAGGACGATGCGCCGACGGGTCCGAATCTGATTCAGGATTCGACAATTGAGGCTCTTCTCGTTCTTGAGGATATGCCCCTCGTCGCAAACCACCAGGTCCGGACCTGCATTAACACACACCCACAAACACACACCATCCGTCTACGAAATATCCTGCGAAGCATGGATGACGGAAATACAGTGAAGTGGATTCACCGGGGTTAATGAAAGCTTCCTTGAACTGCTCTCGATGCCTTTTCTTCAATTTCTTGTTGCTGGGGTTAGCAAGGATTCGAAAGCTGTTGTACCCAATGATCATGACTCCGCCGCCTCGATGCCATCGTTTTGCACGATATTTGCGCAACTTGACATTTTTCTCGCTGCACCCAAATCTCAAACATATAAACGTACAGAGAAGAATCTACTTTGATAAAGAATACTGCCATCCTCACTTGGCCATATTGAAGATGTCAATTTTTTTTAGATCTTGTCCCTCCAGCCAGATTTTGAATTCCTGGTCCCAGTTGAGGACTGTGTTATACGGGCAGAGCACAAGAGCAGTCTTAAATCCAAGTGCCTTGCTTGTGAGAATGGTATGGAGGAAAGCCACTACCTGATGAGAAGCACGATACCATCATCATGCATTGGAAATAAAGATCCTCTCAACAGGGGGCAAAGTCATGAAAATCCTCTACAAATATATATGATACATATACAAGGTGTTCGTATATAACCCTTTCAAGGGCCAGTTTTTTTGGACGTTTTACACTACTATCTGATTGAAAAGAAAGTTCTCGGAATTTCATGAACAATTATTACAACCCAGTTTATTTAAAAGCAAAATCATCTCAATCATGAATGTAATCACCATTGGCCTCTATCACTTCACGCCAACGTTTATGCAAACTATGGATGCCATTCCAATAGAACTCTGGCGGCTGCGCTACGAAAAAGTTGGCCAAATCGGTTTTCAGGTCGTCT